CGAAACAAATAATCCACGCGGGTAACTATCCAAAGAGTGAAATGCCTTCAAAAATCAACACATGCCGCTACAAAAAGCATGATAGAGCACGTCCACAACTTCAACGGAAACGCCCGACAGTGGAGACAACCAAATCTCGATGTACGTTGCTAGGAAACAAAAGAATCTCATGAACATAGCGCATACGTAATTTAAGCAGGAAACGGGCATCCCCCCTAATTAATCCACAATCCCACGAAGCCATCGACTGGCCTACATATGTCTCTAAGTGACGTATAGCAAACACCCCACAATCGAACTTATTTTTTGTGTCGCGCCATGACATACGGAGTCTCCTAGGAATCAAGTGCAACGCCTTAACATAGAGGTGTTGAGCCCCAGCATCCTCAAAAAGGACAGATAACAAGTCCTTCTACACCAATTGTAGAAACAGAACCAAAAGTCATTAAAAAAGGCAGAAAGTAACTATTAAATCCATAACATTAAAATCCACTACGAAATAGTACAACTGGACCATATACATACCAACACCTCAGGGGTCGCCCCATATTTTTTCAAAGATGCCCCATCCACGGATGAGTTATCTATAATACCAAATCTCAAACGGCGTAGATCAAACGACATCACATAGTAATGACCATGCTCGAGAATAGGGAATAGAAACTGTAGAAAGCCATGTGTAAAAATATGAAGAATACCAACACATATGCAGAATTAAATCCCATGAAGGAGTGAACGAAAAATAATTTGTATAGCACCCATGAAGGAGTGAATGAAAAAACTATGTATAGTAGAAAAACTTACCATGTCAATTTCATCCCACGAGTTATACGGAGATACCTGCAAATCAGCCTCTAACCCAGACTTGAACCAACCCAACCGTTGCGACCAAGAGGATGAAATTTGAACAGCCGAATACAACTACACACACAGAGTAAGACACATGAATTCGGAAGCACAAGAAATAATTAAATACAGTGCCAACCTGTGGTTGCAAAAAGACTAGCAACGAACCGTGGTTGTGGGTGATGCAAATAACCGTTTTGGAGCGTCAACCGGCTTAGACCTTTCTCGAAAATTTAAAATACATGCCCAAACATTCAAAACACCCACCAGAACTGTATGTCCTTCCAACAGTGAAACAAGATCATCCGTACGAGCAGATCGACCGCAAAAATTAAATAATTCGACAGTCCTGAAATTAAAACACCATTAAATATGCATACAGATATGCGTAAAACCATGTACGGAATTCATTAGAACGCTAAAATGTACATGTCAGCATTTAGTGAACTAGCAATCCATTTATAAGCTGCATGTGACTCCGAATTACGCAAAGGCAGGTTGTTGACTGCACGTGCACGCGTGACAGGTGCATACGAATTCAAGTCCATGGTGCGCACTGCACCGACATTAATCGGCCCAGGACGTGAATACTTAGAAGGTGCCGGACGAATAGTAGTGCCCAAAGGCGGATCAAATGGAACAACTTGCTACAAAAATGAACAAAAGAAAAAATACAAAATATGATTTAAGAAGTTTACTGGAAGAAGTGAAAAGTGAATAAGTCACAGATGAATACCTCCTCGGGAGTAGAAAATACATCGTGACCTGCATTACTTTCAACCACACGTGGCCGTTTCAAACCCAATAGTCTGTGATTGACCTTCCCAGCCGAGGAAGCTTTGGGAGCACATGAGAGATGGTGTTTGGTTGAACGCACCTAGAAAACTCGGACAGATGGAAAAATTAGAGTGAAAATTAGGGATGAAAAAAAAATAGCAACGAGTTGTATACGTAACAATATGACCGACAAGGTATAATGAACCAAGATGCATCTACGTTACAAAACAATACTTACTGCATCAGCAGGGGCAGAACGACAATCCCGAGATGCAATAGTGGGTGAGGCTCCATCATAATTACGGACAATTGCATCCACCACATCCCAACATTGAGTAGGCAGGTCTTGCGTCAATCCCAAACTGAATGAAGGTAATTCAGCAACCCCCTAGAGAATGCAGTAAGAATGTATATAAAAATAAAGTGTATGCGTATGAATAAAGGCGTTTGTGCGTGAAACCATAAAACCCCTCATACTAACACATAGAATTGACAGCAATTGTATTACAGTATACACCATCGAAATAGCTTGAACAGAGAGCATAAAAAAGGGCCTTAACAAACACCTAAACGACCTACGCATCACACCAGTACACAATGATGCCAGCACAACACCCCTACAAAATGCATAACTAGTATGTGCGGGGAACAAAATAATTACATACAGCAAACACAAAAATCCTAGAAGCGCCTAACTTTCTTACGCTTGTAGACTAGCATACTTACTGGAAATCGAGAGTCCGACAAAGGACCCCCCGATGGGTCTGGCAAAGAACCATCTTTGTTTTGATGCGCAACAGTAGCAACCTCCTCACAGCATTGGGGCTCAACGCTCGGGGATTGATTGATTCTGGAAGATTCTTGAACCGCGGTCTGCTGCTGAACAACAAACACCACTTCATCAACGGCCTGTAAATTATCCGGATTGTTCCACATTTCATCGTCGCTGAGAGTGTGGTCAACCGTCACTGCTGGTGCAGGGGTCTCGGACAAAGAAAGTATCCTCTGAGCAACAGAAACAACCTGCGTGAAACTGTCTGTACGAGTGGAGCAACACGGGTGTTGATGAAGAAACTGCAAAATATCATCCAAAGCTACACCTAGCAGACCTGCCTTTTCATTAAATATTTCATCGGGCGTCTGCATGCAACAAAAAAAGCCACAGTATAATAGATAACTAATAACTACATGTAAAAACTTACGAAAAGAGGGTTATTAATGCTAGAGCACAAGCCGCTGTAATAAAACGCGCACACATAAAATGAATAGAAAATAAAGGAGGATAGAACATGCACAAGCCCTGACACATAAATGCACAAAGTGATATATGGAAAAAAAATCAAGTTTAAAGGAATAAAATTCCAAAGCAATAAACAACATACACATAATATTAATGACATGTAACGAAAATAAAAATCCAGCAATAAAATACCACTGCATACGACACCATAAAAAACGAAAATGGAACTATGAATGCTAGAGCACAGACCGCAGAAATAGAACGCACAAACTTAAAAAAGGCTAAAATAACGAACAATATTACATGCACAAGCTGTGACACAAAATCGCACGAGCTGCGATATGTATAAATTCCAAAAAAGAAAGATATAATAATATTCCATAATAATAAACAACATAAGGAGAACATAAATTATGTGCAACGATAATAAATTACAAACAAGAATAGTAACTTACGACACCACTCGAATAAAAAAACAAATACGGATTAGAAAAATAAATACCTGAGGCCGGACAGAAGTAGACGGATTAGTACGGTCAACAGACGGCACATATGGCCCGACCACCGCCCCCCGCCCAAAGCCTCCATCTGTCATCTCAGCCAACTCCCGGGCCCTAAGAATACTTGTTTCCCAACCTCTAAAAGAAGGGAAAGCACGAGGAACAGTATTGGCTGCATGCACCACCCTATCCACATAAAGGAACTACAACTTGACAACGTATGTAATCCACACACAAAAAAAAAAAATGAACAAGTATATAAACCACACAAAGTACTCACTGTAATAACATACCACCAAAAGCAGAAGAGGCCCCGAAAATGGCTGAGAAGATGCATTTATCCAGTTGTTGTGTCGCTCCACCAAACACTCGAGGACGAACTTACACCAATTCAGATTCCTAATCTGATCGACATCCTCAAAATGGTGAAAAACCAGTTGGTTAGCATACCCATTAGACATAGGGGACCCAAATATACTAATTGCCAACACGGCAAAGTGGCGTTTAAACCACACACCCCCTCCGAGCAAGAACGCAACTTCTTCCCAATCATAGCCAAGGTGACCGTATGCTGCGTCACATCAAATTTGGCCCGCCATTTTTTCAAAGTATCACTAACGTCATCCTTGTTTCTTTTCGTAATCACCACATCACCACGCGGCAAACCCAAAGCGGAATGCACGTCTCGTTCCGTAACAGAGATTGTGGCCCCATTATCCAAACGCACGCACATCTCCACGGGGTCAAAATTCTTCAGCAACCAAAAACCCAAGTGCTTTGGGATATCCTCTACCTGAAGATCCAATAAATCCCCTAACCCCAAATGACCAACTGCCTTGCGCTGGCACGCACTAAAATGCTTGAATTGTGATACTAAGTGCTTCGGAGATGCACGAGTCTTCAAACGTGGAAAGCTAACGGCATGATTACCCGCTAACCCATTTTGGGGATCAACCGCCTCCGACTCAGCTTGAGCAGGAATAGGCATAGCGCCAGGAAGGGCCGTAGCATTTACCCCATCAGCAGGCACGGCTGCAACAGGGGGGTCAACAAAATCATCAGAATTGTCCCCTACAAAAAAATTCAAAGCTTATTGCACACATCGCCAAAAAGATATGTACACACAAACACAAACAAACTAATAAAAATACAAAACTAAAAATAATTAGAATAAGAGCAAAAAAAACTTAGACACAAACATCAATTTATTTGTAAATGCGAGAAAAATATAATGTTTAAAAAACAATCAAAACGACTTTAAAAAAAATAACAGATTTTTGAAATACCTAAAAATTATTATTAAACACGTACAAGCCCCACCAAAAACATGCACAAGCCCAGATGAATATATTTAATAAAAACATGTTAAATGACCAAAATGTAAACCAACAATGTCAGATTTTCTAAATAACTAGAAATTATGAAAAAGAAATCATAAAAAACCAAAAATAGAAATTCCAAATTACATACAACTAACATATTTAATTTGTACAACCAGAATGAACAAAATTTGAACCTATTAACACCACAAATAACATAGAAACGACCATAGTATGCAAAACTCACAAGCCCCACCAAAAACATGCACAACTAAATAAATATATTTAACACAAACATTATAAAAGGACAATTTGAAGACCAAAAGTGGCTGAATTTTTTTATAACTAGTCATTATTAATATAATGTTAGAACACTGAATAACATAAAACGCACAAACCATCAAAAATGTAACACTAACGAACAAACAACAGCGCAAAACAGCAACAGAACCATGGTTTCTATAATTAAATTTTTCAAATAGACTAAATATAATGAAATTAAAATCAAGAATTATATGAATTCCACAATAAATGAGTTGAAAATGAAATGAAATTCTTTCATAGAAAAAATGATAGGAGAACTTAGACTTGATCGAATATAGAAGGAAGCTTATGCATAAAAGTTGAGCATGAATGCTGATGCAATGGCGCAATGCTATCATCCTTGCATGACGAAATCATAGTGATGTTCTCAAGATGAGTAGTATACTATCCCTGATGTATATGTAAATTAAATTCGTTCTTATGTAATAGTTTATAAACATATAAAAAAAATAAATCATAATCATCACTGGATAAACTCACTGGCCTTTGTAAACAAAAATTATATACATTCTGTCGGAAACAAAAAAAAAAAAAAAAAAAAAAAAAAAAAAAAAAAAAAAAAAAAAACTCTTCCTGCAATCCTAAACGTCATGCTGAATTCCCCCGAAAAAAAAAAGGAAAAAAGAACCAAAGCCTCAACATGAATTCTCCACAAAAAAAAAAAAAAAAAAAAACCCTTCCTACAGCATTCTGCCGGAAAAAAAAAAAAAAAAAAAAAAAAACCCAAAACCCTAATCGAAATCCCACCCCCATGAACACCCCCCCACCGCCGCCTGCAACCCCACTTCCGACCCAAGCCCTCTACCCCCGTCAACAAAACACCACCGCCAATGCCCCCACCCCTCACAAATGCCCACCACATTCTTCCCACCCCAACAGCCCCAACAACCTAAGCAAAAAATGGTACATGCAGGGAATTTAAAGCCCCAAAAACGAATTATAGAACCACCCATATAAGTCCACCCAGTTAATCAAAACTAAAGCGTACCTTGAACAACCCTAATCGAAGTTCCATGCCGTCTCAATGAACGCCTAGATGAGGAGACGTCCATGGATTAGTTGAAGAGCGCAGACGAACGAGGGGAAGTATGTACGCTGCTTCCAGAATACACGCACCATCGAGTATTCAGGAGAGAAGTGGTAGACAAAACACTGACGTTTATCCTGCAGGTTTACCATCCCGTGGCAACTATGGCAAGGGATGTTCAGATGATCCTAAAGCTTCCGTACGTTGTAACGAGTCAGGTTCCTCTTGTTAGTCATATAATTATCTAACATTTGGTATCAAAGCCTGATAATCTCTGCCTGGTTATCAATTATATTAGCAGTGATATAATATAATTTGAAAATTGTATATGTATATTGTGTTTCGTATATGGTATAGTTTTTGAAATGCTTACGTATTTTCTTTTGTTAATCTTTTGGGATATGCGATGATCTTCTTTTGGGATATGCGGCGCCGTGTGGCATTCTGAGCTGTGATCGGCGCTTCATCGTCCATCTGAACGGTGTTGAAGTTCTCATGGAGAACAAATTATGGAAGAAGAAGAAGGCTGTGATAGATTGATCAAAAGTCCTTTTTCAAAGAGAAGCAGTGTGCTCTTTATACAAGCCAACCAACTGGCTGAGAAGGGAAAAGAAAAGAAGCAGAAAGAAAGCTAAACAGAATTAACTAACAAAACTAACTTTAACTAAATCTTCTTGTGCTGACTTTTTGTTTGACCTGCAGTGTACCCCCCCGCAAGCTGGAAGGTACATATTATGTAGCTCAAGCTTGGAAATGAGATCATGGAAGCTGTTCTGTGCAAGTGGTTTTGTAAAGACATCTGCAAGCTGATTTGAAGTAGAGACATGTAGCAGTTTTAAGACTCCTTTTTGTAGCTTTTCCCTTACTAAATGGCAGTCCAACTCAATATGTTTTGTTCTTTCATGGAACACAGGGTTCTCAGCTATGGCAATGGCAGATTTATTATCACAATACAATGAAGCTGCAGGATTTCCAGTCACTCCCAAGTCTTGTAGAAGATATAGAAGCCATTGAATTTCACAAGCTGTGGAAGCTAAGGCCCTATACTCAGCTTCAGATGAACTCCTAGAGATGGTGACCTGCTTTTTGGATTTCCAAGAGACCAGAGAGGTGCCAAGAAAGATGCAAAATCCAGTGACTGATCTCCTAGTGTCTGGACAGGCAGCCCAGTCTAAATCAGTGAACCCTTTTAACTGTAGGAGGAGACTTAGCTGAGAAGAAGAGACCCTGACCTGGAGCTGCTTTAATGTATCTTAGGATTCTGTGAGCTGCTTGCATATGTATGTTGGTAGGGCAGTCTAGAAACTGAGATAATTGTTGAGTGGCATAACTAATGTCAGGCCTTGTAATGGTTAGATAGAGGAGCTTTCCCACAAGTCTCCTATACTGAGTGACATCTTCAAGCTTTTCCCCAATGTCTTTGCTAAATCTTGTTGAGGTAGCCATGGGTGTTTTTGCTGGTTTGCAATCTGTAAAGAGTGTGTCCTCCAAGAGTTCTAATGCATACTTTCTTTGTGTCATGGAAATTCCATAGTTGTTCCTTGCTACTTCTAACCCAAGGAAAAATCTCAAAGGGCCTAAATCTTTAATGTGGAAGGCATTGTCTAAATGCCCTTTGATCTGCTGAACTTGTTTTGAATCTGGACTTGCTATTACAACATCATCAACATAGACAAGTAGGGCCACAAAATTATCTCCTGCACCTTTGAGAAATAAAGAAGAATCAGATAGAGCTTGCCTGAAACCCATATGTAGCAATTCATGAGTCAGCTTCATATTCCACTGCCTACTTGCTTGTTTTAAACCATAGAGACTTTTTATCAACCTGCACACCTGACCAGGCTTTTGAGGGGTGAAACCAGGAGGAAGTTTCATGTAGACTTCTTCAACTAGATCCCCATGAAGGAAAGCATTATTGACATCTAACTGATGTAGAGCCCATCCTTTGATAGCAGCCACTGCCAGTAGCATTCTTATGGTGGTTATTTTGGCAACTGGACTGAAGGTGTCCAAATAATCCAGGCCATGAGTTTGTGTGTACCCTTTTGCAACCAATCTAGCTTTGTGTCTCTATATTGTGCCATCAGCTTTAAGCTTGGTTTTGTACACCCATTTGCAGCCTATGGGCTCTTTATTAGGAGGGAGTTCTGTCAGCCTCCATGTGTTATTGGCTTGTAGAGCCCTGATTTCATCCTTCATGGCCTTTCTCCAACATTCTTCTTTTATGGCTTCATTGTATGTCTTGGGTTCTTTGGTGGCCAGTGTCTGTGCTGCAAAGGCTTTGAAATTGCAAGATAATCTGTCATAAGATAAGACATTAGAGATGGCATGTGGGGATGTCCTTCTTATAGTGGCACTATGGCAAGTGTAATCAGCTAGATAAGTGGGAATGACCCTGGTTCTAGTAGATCTTCTTGGTTCCCTTACTAGAACTGGAGGTGTAAGTGTTGGTTCTGGACTAAGCACCATTTCTGGAACTGAAGTATCAAACTGATCCATTTGGCCTTGATGCTGACCATCTGGATTAATGATTTCTTCATGCACCTGTTCATCAATGTCTGAGTAGGTTACCCCTTCAGAAGGTAAAATAAGGTCAGTTTCCAGAGTGTTTTCAATATCCCGTGTGCTTTGTTTGATTTGACAAGGAAAAGTGCTTTCATAGAAGCAAACATCCCTAGACAAAAATACCTCTTTTGTGTGTATATCATATAACTTGTACCCCTTTACTCCATTAGCAAAGCCTAGGAAAATGCACTTTCTGGCTCTTGGAGAGAACTTGTTCCTTTGATAGCTAGGAATAACTGCAAAAGCTAGACATCCAAAAACTCTTAGATGCTGATACTGTGGCACTTTGCCAAAAAGAATTTGGTAAGATATCTTGTTGTCTAGAACAGCTGATGGAAGTCTATTGATTATGTATACTGCATGAAGAATGCAGTCACCCCAAAAATGCTCAGGCAACTGAGCTTGAATTCTGAGAGCTCTAGCCACTGCCAAGATGTGGCCATGTTTTCTTTCAACAATGCTGTTCTATTGGGGAGTGTATATACATGAAGTTTGATGAATAATGCCCTTGGTTTGATAGAATTCTTTCAGGAGGAACTCCTTCCCATTGTCAGATCTCACACATTTGATGATTTTGCCAAATTGTGTGTTTATTAGCTCACAGAAGTCCTGTAACAGCTGCTTAACTTCACTTTTGCATCTCATCAGATACACCCAAGTGGCCCTGCTGTGATCATCTACTAAGGTTAGGAAATATTTGTGGCCATAAACAGTGGGAGTTTGATAGGGTCCCCATATATCAGCATGTATAAGATCAAAGCAATCAACTGAGATGTTAGAGCTAGGTTTAAAAGGCAATCTTCTTTGTTTAGAGAAATGACAGCAATCACATACAACTGGTTTGTCATTACAAATTGTATTATCAATGGAATGTAGAAGTCTAATCTTGCCTTCTGAGGCATGTCCCAACCTAGCATGCCAAAAACTACAGCTATTTACAACTGGTTTACAAAGAGTGAAGGCAGTGAGATCAAGTTGGCATAGTCCTTTCTTCAATTCAGCCACTCCAATCATCCTCCCAAGGAGTTGATCCTGTATAATACACTTGTTAGAGTGAAACAAGATGCTACACTTGGATCTCTTTGTAAGTTCACCCAAGGAAACTAAATTATACTGAAAGATGGGCACACAGAGAACATTGAGCAGGACAAGATCTTCTGAGAACTGAACTGTCCCAATATGTGAAACCTGGGCTTGATGTCCATTAGGTAAATCAACAGATATTCCTTGGACCTTCTTAGGGTTTTGTAATAGGTTTAATGTGCACACAATATGGTGTGTAGCACCACTGTCCAAGATCCATAAGGGTTCTGAGTCTGTTGAAACACTGCTATGACATTTAGAATTAGTGCCCTTACCTTCCAGTCTAGCATCTGGAATGAAATTTGCAGCTATGGCATTTGCTTGAGGAGCCATTTGGAGAGGAGAGCTACTGGTCTTAGCTTGCTGCATGAACTCCAAGAACCTCCTGTAATCTTCTTGATTATAGGAGATGGGATCTCCTCCTGCATTGTTGTGTTCTTGTGAGGTGGACTGCACTTGATTAACATTCCCTACCCCTTTGTTTCTTGGTTTCCACCCTGGGGGGTACCCATGTTTTCGGTAGCATTTCTCAATCGTATGCCCAGTATATCCACAGAAACTACACACTGGCTTCTGTTTCTGTCTGTTTTCATACTTTGTGAAGAAGACTCCTGCCCCTGCCAAGCTTTCATTCATAGAACTGGAGCCCTCATGGACTTGTCTCTCTTGTTGTGAGACCATAGCAAAGGCCTCTCCAACGTCAGGTAAGGGTTTCATCAACATAATTTGTCTCTTGGTATTATGGAGATCATCATTCAGGCCAATAAGAAAGGATGATAGCATATCATTATCTAATTGAGCCCTAATTTTTTCAGACATCTTGCTACCACATACACAGCTGATTGGTGTGCATTCACATGAAAGGACAGGTCTTAATACCAACAATTCATCCCATAAGAGTTTCAATTGAGTGAAATAGTCATTCACAGAAGATGTACCTTGCCTTGTTCTGTAGATCTCAGATTGGATCTCTGCAATGCGGAAGACATCTTGCTGGCTGAACCTCTTCTTTAGATCCTTCCATACTCCCTCAGCAGTGTTGATCCAGAGTATGCTTCGTCCAATGGTGGGAGACACCGCTCTAAAGATCCAAGATAGGATCATAGTATTGCATTGATCCCAGTAAAAATACTTGGGATCAGATTTATTGAGGATGGCTAGGGTTCCATCAGCTACCACCATCTTGTTCTTCGATCTTAATGCCATTTCCATGGCTCTTGCCCATGGATGGTAATTCGATCTGCCTTCCAACTGGACAGTTACAAGTTGTAACGAAGGGCTCTCATTGGGATGGAGATAGAGAGGATCGGTCCGATCTTTGGGATCGTATGCTGCAAAGATCGGAGCTGGTGCCGGTGTATTCCCTGTTCCTGGATTGCTTGCTGCCATTTGAGGGCGATTCAGAGGTGTTTGCCAAGCCATGAGCTCAATAGCTCTGATACCATGTTGAAGTTCTCATGGAGAACAAATTATGGAAGAAGAAGAAGGCTGTGATAGATTGATCAAAAGTCCTTTACAAAGAGAAGCAGTGTGCTCTTTATACAAGCCAACCAACTGGCTGAGAAGGGAAAAGAAAAGAAGCAGAAAGAAAGCTAAACAGAATTAACTAACAAAACTAACTTTAACTAACTCTTCTTGTGCTGACTTTTCGTTTGACCTGCAGTGTAGCTTGACAGGCTGCGATTTTTTTGTTGCTGCCATTTATTCGCTGCTGAGAAGGTTGTTGTCATTGATTCGGTGTTGCGGTGAGGAGGGAGTACGGAAGCGGCGCTAGGTTCCGGCGGAGGTGCTTCTCCTCCGTGTGGGTTCAGACTCCAGCAGTATCGCTGCTGACCTCTCTCTTCCTTCAGGCAGTGCCGGCCGGATGGCTACCTCTCCATTGCAGTAAATAAATGGCTAAGGAGCTCAGAGCATGAGGTGGAGGAATTTGCGTAATACAGTGCGGATGGCTACCTCTCCGCTGCTGCTTCTTTCCTACTTCAACAGCGTGGTGGCGTTTGTTGAAGAAGACGACGGTGCGACTTGGAATTGCATGTGGCGGTGGCGTTACGGTGAGGACAGTGGCGACCAGCGTTGCAACGAGCTTGGTTGCCTCTTCGCTGGTTTTCCGGCGTTTCTTTGGAAGAGGAAGGAGATTCCTGGTACGCCATTATTTAAGGTGCAATTATCTTTTATTTACCATTTTTTTTATTTGCCTTATATTTAATATTTATATATATTAATTTTGGTAAATGGTGATTATTTAGTCTAATATTACCATGTTAATATTACCTTAATTAATATTGTAAATTGTTTAGGCAAATGGTAAATATTAGTAATTGTTTGTTTTGAAATAATAATGCCCTTTAGTTTTTATTTTTTAAAATTTTGGCATTAAAATTTCAAAATTGAGATTAATTATGGCATTATTTGTGATTAAATTATTGCCATTATTAATATCATTACAGTAATTCTTGTCACAATTAAATTATTATTCATTTTGAGCAAAATATTAAGTTTTAATTTGCTATTTGAATTTTAATTTAATATTGAGAGTTGTATTAATGCCTTTTAGTTTTCTCTCAATTTTGGCATTATATTCACAATTAAATTATTATTCAATTTTGAGCAAATATTAAGTATTAAATTTGCTACTTGAATCTTAATTTAATATTGATGTGCATATTAAATTGCTTGAATTATTGCAATTTATTTAGTATTTATGAGTTAATAATATATTAATTTGCAAAATCCAAACATGCTTTGTATATTTTTTAAATTAATCCAAACATGTTACTCTTAATATTATTATGTGGTAAATTGAGATTAGTATTTAGCATCCCTTAATTATAGTTTTACATTTAATTGCAAATATCATTAGTTTGCATTATTAATTATTGTTATTAAGTTTAGGGGCTAATCTCATGTATTACCTTTCATAATAATTATTCATTCATGTTAATCTACTATATTTGGTACATTGGTAAGATTACCCATGTCACTTTATTTTTCATTATTATTAATAATGGTAATTAAGTGTTACCAATAAACTGTTACGTACTATTGGGCGATTCAACTAAACTCTCCGTGAAGATGGGAGATTTTGGAAGCTTTCTCCGCTATCGAGGTTAGTGTTATCGATAGATGCAGTTTGCATCATTACGGTACGCAAATCATTAATTGCAGTTTACAGTTTATTATTATTGGTAACTACTGTTATAACTGTTACTGGTCACATTTTATCTTTAAGAAAATGGAAACATTAAGATATGTATTACCATGTTTGTCATTATTAAAATGTTCATAGTGATTATAATGCTCCTTATTACTATTAATATTTTAATTAATGATACCATTATTTTTTATGGTATTAAGACATAAATTGTTTCCAAATTGATTTATGTGACATTTATTTTCGGACTTCTTTTATTAAATTTTAAAGTTATATCCGAAAATGTTTCTAAAGTTTAACAGTTTTAACTATTGTTTTTTTTTTTTTTCATATTTAGCCTCCAAATTAACATAATACTATTATTATGGCTATTTATTGCCTTTTTTGGTTTATTTGCAATTTTCTGCCATTAATAATATTATTAATTGAGTTTTGGAGAGTGATTTTTTAATCAATTCAGAATTTTGGAAAAATATGTTTTCTAGGCATTATTATACATCGATCCCATAATTTATTTAGTATTTGAATTACGATTTTAGATGTTATTGCCCACATTTAGTTAAGTATGAATAATTGAATACACATTTGGTGTTTTTCATACTATTTAGATTGTTTTATGCTTTTAATCACATTAAGTGCATAATATAAAGTTTAATTATGCAATTAGGTTTTGTGATTTTTTTTATTTATGAATAAAACATATACTATGACTTGATATTTGTGAATTTAGCATGTTTCTCACAAAGTTGATTTTATGCAATTAAAACTTTTTCACGTGGGTTTATAGTTTTTAACCTTTCAAGTATATATCTATTACATTATTATTCAAATTTTGGATTTCCTTTGGTTAGAAATCATACTAGTTTAGAATATTAATTGTATACTTTGAGGTTATTGCTCATATTTAAAATTGTTTTGGTTTATGCAATTTATTTAGAATATATGAGTTTAATGTTTGATTTTATGCATACTTGTCCACCGCATAATATTCTCTTTTTTTTTTTTTTTTTTTTTAAGTTATGCAATTTTATTATGCCTTTAGAAATACATACTTTAGGATGAAATTATATTAGTTCCTTATTAAGTTGGACCTATGCATAAAACTTTAGTTGCGGTAGTGTCTGAGTTTAAGCACGTTTAGTCCGTTAATTTTTTTCATCGATTAAAGCCTTATTCATAGGTGAATCTACAATTTTATAGATCTCCCAAACAGTTTTACTTCAAACATGAGAACGCATGACTTAGGGAAGTTTCTTGGGAGGAATACTAGTTCTATGGCCCTGGCTTAAAAGCCTTGTTGCTACTAGTCCCCTTGCGACGCTACTCTGTCTAAGGAGTTGGTATTTAACCGAGCTTCGTCTCGACCAACTTTCCTGGGAGTATACCTAATAATTGTCTTTCATTTGTTGGCTTAATTTGTTTGTTAGGCTTTAAATTCCCCTTTTGCCAAGTGATAACAATTTTAGATTAATTAAAGAGTAGCCACAACATCTTTAATTTACTAAAAATTGTCTAAAGTTCAAATCACATAAAGATGGCAATGATAAATGTCAGTGATCTTATAATTTTAATTAGTTGGGGAGTAGCCACAGCATTCTTAATCAGTTAAAATTATATATTGAGTTGTTAGGGTCACATAAAGTTCTAGACATATCAATTGTGATTAATTGTATCTAATATGATGGAATTTAGCCCACAGGCAATTTCGTTATATTTGTATGATTAATTATGATGAAATACTGAACTATGATCATAATTTAGCCCACAGGCAATTATGTATCGGAATGTAGTTTAGTAGTTTTATCAGTAATGATAGGAATACTTTATGAGTAATTTTCGGGAATAAAGAATTTTACTTACTTTATGAGTAATTTCCACCTCTATCATGAAGCTTAATTTTATGATGTAAACTTTAGGTCATATATCTTAATTTGCCCACAGGGATTAAGATAAGGAGCATCTTAAGTTTTTTCTCATAATGGTTGTAATGAATCTAATTGAATTAAAACTTTAGCCCACAGACAAGTTTTTATGTCACTTGATTCTTCAACTCATTTGATAATTGTTTCATCATAAAATTTCAGTTGGATCTTATTGAGTAAAACTTTAGCCCACAGGCAAGTTTTATGTCACTAGATTCTTCTAGCCATTTAGTAATTGAGATTAAAATATTATCATAAGGATTTCTTAATTGAGTTTAATAGAATTAAAACTTTAGCCCACAGGCAAGTTTTATGTCAATAAATTCATCAACCCATAATAACTTTATCTCAATTTCTTAGAATTTATAAATTTAGTTTAATTATAATTCTAAGTTTCGTGGTTTGCATTGGCAAAACATGTATTTAGTCACTTCCCAAAATTTAGATACACCTTTTATTAATTATTTTTCACGAAGCTTGGTTATTTGGACTAACTATAGTAAGTTGCGTGGTATGATATACCTCTTATGGATTCCAATAACAAAATATATCTTCTGAGCCGAATTCCAACTTGGTTTTGGAACGCGTATTTTATTATTTTAGTATGTCCAACTATGGTGGAGAATCATGCCCTCATTAATCATTCATTTAGTTGGACTATAATTGGAACAAAATATTGATTATTTAGTGTGCCCAACTAATGGTGGGGAATTATATCTTCATTATTTAGTTGGTCAAATCAATTATGAGTGCTATATCATTAATTTGGCTAAAGAATATCTTAATCAGTGGGAGTGATCATTTAGAAAAAGATCATTAAATACTCCACTAAAGCTGATGGATTTAATTGTTCTCATACATTCCAAATTGGATTGTGCGTCTAGCAATAAGTCCACAAGTATTAATTTAGTTTTTTGTTCTTATAATTCATAAGTTCATTTCATTGAATGTTTGGTTGTACAACATATTTATGAAAATGTTGTAACAATATTAATGAATTTATTAGAACGAAAGCATTTAACTTGTGGTGCACTTTCAATTAA